TAAATTAATAATAATAATAATAATAATAATATTGTTTTTAGTTTCTCTTAATGTTTATTATAATGAATATAATTATATTTATATTTATTTATGTTACATATTCTATAAACACACAAATTATATTTACTTTTTTAATGTTCACTATAAGTTTTAAATGTTATCTGAACATTTCTATAGCTGTCTACAAATATGAACTAATAGGGTATCTGCCAGGCGACCATCAATAATTTCCCGCCAACTTCGGCATGATGAAATTCCAAAAAGCTTGTTAAAAATAAATTTATATTTTATACATAAATATATGTATATATATAAATATTTCTACATTTTCTGTTGGCTAATTTCATGTCAAATATTAATTTATGGTGTGTGTGTATGTATGTATGTGTGGAGTGTAGGGTATACGGCTCTGGCCTCTGCGAGCATATTTCATGTTTTCTCTGCACATTTTCCGGCACGAGCTAATGGACAAATTTTATTTATTTTTTATGTGCGGTGCCGTTTGGAATGGGGGCGAGGGTTGCGCGGTGAGGGGGTTGGAGTAGGGGAATGGGAAATGACTTGCTAATTACATTTGTACATCTCGGCTTGTTTGGCCATGTCGCCCCAAAGTATGCAAAAGTTATTTAAAGCGGACTTAGCGCTCAGTTGCGCTGCTCCGGACCCCGTCAGCTCGCTCGCTAAATAAACATTTGCCTAAATGACGCGACACGCGACACACACACTACACACACACACACACACACACACATACACTGGGTGTAGACGCTGTTGGTTGGCATACTTCTGCCTCTTCGTCTGCCTCCGCTTATTATTGTTGTTGTTGTTGCCCTGCAGCCCGGCAAGCAGCCGTCCCTCGAAAGCGTACTGTACAGTGAACTACTCAAGAGCAGCCGCAGCCAGCATTTGCGCTAGACCTAAGACCGGAGAGCAGTACCTAAAAGAACATACAAGCACAAACACACATGAATGAGCGTGTGTGTGTGTGTGTGTGTGTGTATTCCGGAAATCATTCATAGAGTTAAAACACTTAGCAACAAATACACATATGTTGGTATATTTTTAAAGCAGTTAGAAATTTATTTGAAGGTTTTCTTTAAGCTTTTATGAATATGAAGATAAGAATGAAAGAATGAAGATAATTGAATGTGAAGCTAAAGATAAAGATAAGAACTAGATTTTCAACAGAAGCAAATATACAAATTTGTATTTCAAAATTGTACGTACATATATATAGTATAGCACATATAGTAGAATACAGTAGAATCCGGTTATAACGACTCCGCTTATAGCGCCCGTGCGGTGCGACGAAAATTCTGGTTCTCAGACTTATATGGCAGCGTGTTCCAGTTATAAGAACGTTCCTTGAGCGTCATCAAAACCGGTTTCTACTGTATGTATCCTCTAGTATGAGCATCATAAACTATTTTGTCCATCACTGTCTTAAGAAAATAGAGCTGATATTCGAATCATTCTACGATTATTTTATGGCTACATATACATATGTATAATCCCATAATATAATATATAATAATTTCATATAATAAATTTCTCTTATTCTTACATCTCTTCTGATACTCACCTGTTATCTCAGCTCATATTTCCATATTTCTCATATATACATTTCTCTTCCTCTCTATTCTCTTCTCACTTTCACAAATATCTCAATATTTCCACATTTTCCATATATATTTATTTCCATTTCAATTAGAACTCCACATCAGTTGAAAACTTTCATCCATTTCGAGGCGATAAAGTTGTTGAGAACAGCTTGAATGTAATGCTGTATTCCCTTAACTGCCACTTGGAGGCGCCACCACTCGTTGGTGTTGAGACAATCAGGCAACTGTCTGATTGTGGCAGGGGGCAGTGGGGCAGTGGGGCAGTGGGACCGGTGGGTGGGCGGTGTGGATTGAAGCTGCTGTTCGTTTTTTATGGGTCCCTTAATTGGCGCCAACGAGGCCACGCCTCGCTGCCCAGTTCGATGTTATGGCTATTGATTGATATGCCACGCCCCCCTTTGCCAGCCCACATGATTGAAGCGAAATGTTGCAGCAAGGTCAGCGGCTCATTTCTCATGGGGGGCCAAACTAACACGACGCCAACCCAAAAATCAACGGTCAGGTCAGGGTCAGCAGCAGCAGCAGCAGGAGGAGGAGGAGGAGTGGGTGAGCGGGTGGAGAGGGGAGCGGAGGCACAGCAGTTAATAAATATAAATGCCGGCATTGTCAAAGTCAGCTTTGGCTGCAATTTCCGTTGCTATTAGGCGCGCCTGATTGACTGATTGATGGTTGATTGATGTGCGCATTGGCTACTTACAGACTTACAGACTACTTAACGCGTTTATTATTGTTATTTCTATTGTTGTCGCTGTTGTTGTTGTTTTTGTTGTTGTTCGCATTAAACATGTCAATTGATTGTTTGTCTGCCTCCAGGCGCTCCACTTCTCAAGCGAAGCGCCTCATAAAAATGCAATTCATGTAGCTGTATTTGTTGCTCTGACTGCGCCAAGTATAACGGCAATAACGGCAATAATTCCCAGGGCAGCTTCATTTTGTGCTTTGTTCAGCATATAGCGTGTATACCGTGCGCTGCAGGCAAACATTAGTGGGTCCATTGGCGGCTAATACATACATACATACATACATACATATGTACATGTATATGTATACCTATATATATATATATATACCTTTCTATGTGTGTTTTCAATGCTACTAATTAAACTCTTCTATTCAGCATTGCAGTTATAGTTGCCACTGAATTTACATGGTATTTTTAGGCTCTGTAAACACACACAGAATAAATATATACATACATACATATGTTGCTGCGCTGCGACATGCCAAAGAGCGAAGCAAATTTGTACTCAATGGCAATGCATAAGATCTGGGCACAAAGAGCATAAGCACCGTTGCATATTTAAGGCATGTGATTTAATGTGGAGTGTGCGCGTATGTGTATGTGAGCGTGTCTGTGCATGAGGCTTTGCATGTTTTCTGCTCTCCTCCTTACTTATGCTGAGCGTAGCCAGCGTATTGTTGCTCTACTGTATTTGAGTGGAGTAGAGCTTTGCTTCTCTTGCACAAGATCAAACGCATAAGCGCCTCTTACATATGTACATATATAAGTATGTGTGTATATGACAGAGTATGCAGTTATTAGCATTTATGCAAATACATAAATACATACATATGTATGTATACATAAATGTGCAAAAATAAATATCAATAGCTAAGCTAACTCATATTCATATTAAAAATATGTTCTACAAAAGCAGATCGAGAGCAAGAGCGACAATGGCGTTCGATTGAGTTGCTCTCATAATTACTCACATATTAATAGCTAATCAATAGCTCAAGCAGCAGCGGCTTGGCTCGCAAGCAAATAAAGCTTTAAAACGGGATCAAAAGCACTATTAATATTTGCGTAGATAAGTTGAGTTGCCTTCCATAACGTCCACACTGTATAATCGCTTTCTACCCTCTCTGTAATCCCAGCCAAGTAGTCGAGTCGCATACACACACACACACACATTTGTTTATCATGCTAGTTGCTGCTCAGCTTAAGCATACAATCGACTTTTACGCACTCCCACACACACATTAACCGCACAATTAGCAGTCTAGACACTTTGACACATAAATTTGCTCAACAGTACAGGTATGTTGTGTACATACATATGTATGTATATATATATTCAGAAAGGTAGTCTGCAAGCTGATTTAATTAATAACAATATTAAATTATATATAATTATTAAATTTGTGTAATTGAGCCTTTTCCATGAAAGCGTCGTATCTAGAAAATATTCAATTTCTTATTTATGTAGATACATTAATTAAACTATGATTTATACATACATACATAATTACAATTATCTGAATAGAATTGTGTAGGAACGTAATGTAGTAAAATATGTACATAAATATACATATATGCATCCAAGGCCACGCTTTACACAAACATTATTAGCCCACTCAATAAAGTTACACATATTGTGGACTGTGGATCGAAATTTTATCTAAACTGAGATGAGCAGATCCACTCGTACACACAAACACACTCCAACGGGTGAATGGGGTGCTGTGAGTGGACTACAGCCGGAGAGAGTGCTTATTGAGTTTTAGCTATGTTCTATGTATGCGTTTCTGCAGCTGAGCACGCACTGTTAAAATGTGTTATTCCAATTTGCAATTCTGCGCTGGGAGAATGAGTAAAGTAAAGTTGCGCTCAATATGAGCTGCTTACGATCAGAGAGCAAAGAGAAGAGAGCATTTTACATACGTATATGGAGTGTGCATTCTGCTAATTGTCTTTAGTTGGTGCAGTGAGTTCAAGGAGATGAGGTTTATGTTGGTCTTAATTTTTGTGTGTGAACAATTAACTATTTTGTGATGCGCAGAAATTATATTAGATGCTTAGGTAAGTGATTTGCTAAATTATGATCAATTATTTTAGCTTTAATAATAATAATAGCGGACATTATGTCGTTATTATCTACAATTAGCATTATGTTATGCAGGATATCTGAAAGTCCATACTTTTAACAGGCTTACTCATGTGAGTGCATGTTTTAGTGTTTAAATGTTGGCTTTAGTGTTTTGGCCATAAAATTGCGACTTTAAGTAGCCATCATGTTTCAGTGCCAGGATTGTTAGAGGGCGGGGCTAGACAGACGAGGGCTGTATCTAACATTTTATGATTGCTAAAAAGCTGTTTCATTTCAATGGGAGCCTAAAAGCAACAAAATAGCACAAACTGAAGTTTTTGTGTAGAGATTGTTGAAGGGCGAACTTCATCAATGGATTGTTCAGCCAAACATTAAGCAACATTAAGTAAACAAAGCAATTTGTAAGGACTCCATTGTTGGCAAAGGGAAATGTAAGCAAAATAAAACAAAAAGTCGAAATGAAGTTTAGATTCCGTTTTAGTGGTGTTTTAAAGGCAGCAGAGATGAACATAACTATCGATTTTGTTTTGTTTTGTTTTGTTTTTTTTTTTTTTGGCAAAAGATTTACATAACAAACCCAAGCAACAAAAGCCACTTCCGAAAATAATCTAAGGCTTGACTGCCTCTAGGGAATTTGATATGTCAACCAGAAATGATAATGCCAGACGTACAAATGTATATACAGTGCTGCTCAAGTGAATAGATTTGAAATTTCTTAAGGTTTAAAAGGCTTCGTTTTTCTTGAACGAAAACTTCGATATGAATTCAAGAACTATTGTATGCAAAAATGGATCTTTTGTATAAATAAACTATCAGCTAAAATTCCAAATTATAAGGTATGTAGCACTGGATATACATATATAATATAAATACGCATATGTATGTATATCTGTATAATATCTCAATTCCCACAACTGCCATCAAATGCAGCAGCGACCAAAACTATGCAACGAGCTAAATTTTTCAGTCAAGACAGAGAGAGAGAGAGAGTGTGAGACAGAGCATAGAGAACAGAGAAAGTCAAGAAAAGGAAAAGCGTTCATTGTAGTCAAGGCGCCAAAGCAAGATAAATGGCCCAGAAGCAAACACATTTGGTGTGAAACTGGGTAACTGGGTAAGCAGGGAGTAGGAATATATATATATATAGATGCACTTAACCTCTCAGTCATAGCCAGTCCGCAAGCTCAGCCGTGACGCGTCGGATGCCAAGTAAAATCAGAGACCTCAGCCGCTCCAAGCAGAGGGAACAATGGTTACATTGAGGCATGCACGGTGAGAGGAGGGGGCAAACGGCGGCAAACAGCAGAGGCCAGCAGCAGCAGGAGTTGATGATGCGACAGTCAAATGAGGCAGCACAGACTGCCAAGAGTCAGCCGCCATCTCATCTTCTGTCTCTCTTTTTTCTTCTCTGTATTTCTCTCTCTCCTTAAATAGATTAATTTATGTAGCAGCCAAGTTAGAAACTCACTTTTCTCTCATTTTCTTTTCATTTTGATCTTTTTCTATTTTCATCACCAAAAACATTAGCGAAAGTTATTTGGCTTATAAATTATACAGTTCGTGTGCATAAATTGGCTTTGTATAATCGACATCTTGATTAGCTGGCATTCAAAAGTGCACAGCTCTTTGAATTCGAGCTGGAATTTGAATTGGAATCGCATTTTGTGCGAGTGTGTGTGTGTGTGTGTGCATGTGTGTTTTGGCCACATTTTACTGCATTTTTTTATGATTTATAGTTGACATTTTACTGCTGCTGCTGCGGCGGCTGCTGCAAGTGGCGCATAGATTAGTTCATGTTGTTTTGTTGCCTATTACCCTGTAATATGGGCGCAATGGAGTATATTAACTATATACATAGGCATGCACCATCAAATAATTTACTCCTAATATTTACGCTGTTAATATTAGATGATATTGTTTTAAATAAATCAAGTTAATTAATATCAGAAATTACACTCAATTAATAAAATTAATTTTTATGCATATTATTAAACAAAGTTTTAATGATTTTAATTTATATTTTAAAATCTATTTATTTTTTTTTTACTATCTAATATTACATTCATATTAATTTTAAATAAGAAATTTTGTTATTGGATCTTTAGGTATACATATGCTTTTGGTCAAGGATATCTAACTGTGCAACCTTCAAAGTTTTCAAAGATTTATAAAATAAATTTTTGTGGTTTTGGCTTCAACGGGATTTCAATTTTGTTTTGGTATTAAAAATGAACACGTTTCGTTGTATGCTTTGGAAAGCCTTTAAGTTGCGTTATTTATACTGAATGTACATATATGTATATTTATATATTCAATGTAAAAAACTTTATATTTATATAAAATTTTAACTTTTTTAAAAATCTTATTCTGATATTCAATCAATGTTCGATGTATTTATTGACAAGTATTCTAATTTCGTACTTTAGGGTACTATCGACTATTTGATGTTCGTTCTTTTTTTTTTTCGAGATTATAAAATTTATTTACAGGTTAGCCTTTTTGGCAACTTACCTTTTTGGTAACTTAATCTAAACAGAAATGTTAACTAATTTACATACCGAAAGCTACAATCTAGGATACTTATATATTATGTATATATTATAAAATAACAGATATTTATTGGGTTTTGCAGATGTATAAGTATTCAGGTCAAGACCCGATCCAGGAGGTTTTGCGGGATGCTCGTTCAGTGTCAATTAGCGGTTGAATGAAATTTATTATTAACTTGAGACTATTATAAATATTATAAGTATTTATCTTTTCTCTCTCTCTCTCTCTCTCTCTCTCTCTCTCTCTCTCTCTCTCTTGCTCTCAGCATTGTAGCTCTATAGATTTGACTGTGTATACTTGATCTATTTTATGAACTCCAAATTCTTTCACTTTGAAATGTAGACATTACAAAATTGCATTTAATAATTTATAGACATTGCTCAAAAACCAATATACTCGGTTTTGTTTTAGAAAATTTAAATCAATTTTATTTAAATGCGATTTGTTAGCATGTTTCTTTTTTTTTTCAATCCATTAATCTTGAGTGTTTGGAGCTTAACAGCAGTTGATAGGCTTAAATTTATATATGACTATGAAAATCTAGTAAATTCGATTACACGTTTAGATGAATATAAATACTTTTTAAGAGAAGAGATATGCATAAACATACATATAAATGAAAAATGTAATTAAAAAGTAAAATTATAGATCGTCTTTTCATGCATTGAATTCAAAGTTTTTAGTCTCTCTTCTTCATTTCAGTTGTTCTAATTGGATATCGCAAATAGTTTTTAGTTTCTTTGTTTATTGCAATTTAATATTGATTCGTGTGCAATACTCTTCGTTTCTAGAAACTTTGAACAATTTTCGTTTGCATTATTTTTGGTAAGTTTATTCATTTCGCTTGAGTTTGTATGAGTCGAAGTGCAGTTAGTTTTTCGTGTTTTCTTAATTTCCCTTGCCTAAGTTGGTTCATCTTCTGCTTTTGCTGTGTGTTTCCCAGTTGCAGTTGCAGTTGCTCATTTCGGTTGAGGCCAAAACTTTAGACTCTGAAATGAGTCTAAGCAAAAGTCAGAGAGAGAGAGAGAGAGAGAGAGAGAGAGAGAGAGAGAGAGAGAGAGAGAGAGAGAGAGAGAGAGAGAGAGAGAGAGAGAGAGAGAGAGAGGGAGAGGGAGGGAGAGGGAGAGAAATGGAGAGAGAGATTGCAAACTTTTTGTCAGATCTGAACCGTTGAATCGTTCCATTTCAAGTGCTCAACTGTTTTGAGCCATGTTACTGGAAAAATCCGTTGAAAGAAAAACTCTTTGAAGAAAAACTCTGCAAGGAAATCCAAACAGAAATCCTGCTTTTAATTAGATTTATGCCCAAGTGGCCAATACAGAAATAACACACACACACACACACGAGCATAACACACACACACACACTCACTTACGTGCCGAGCTTTGAACAGCCCCTCAGGGATTTGCACGCTGGCAGAAGCAAACAAAAAAAAAAAAAAAAAAAAAAAAAAAAAAAAACAATAAAAAATAAGAAGAAAATTTAAAATTTTTGTCAGACCAAAAAGATTGACGACCGTTAGCCATTGAAGGGTTACCATATCAAAAGAGGGGTTTACAGGTGCAGGAATGGTATACAATGGAGTGAATAACTGGTTTTTGAGATAGAATTTAAGTTGCTTACAAATTGATATGAAAAGGTAAAGCATTTAAAATCTTAATAACTTAGAAGAAAATCCGTAATGATTTAAAAATTACAAATCAATTAAATTAGTATATTTATGTTATCTATATCTGTATAACAATATCTCTCTGTCTCTAACTCTCTCTCTCTCACGCTCTATTTATTTTTCATGATCTATTTCTCAAATTTCCTTCTCTCTATATATCTATATCTATTATATAGATATATATATTTTCTATCTCTCTCTCTCTCTCTCTAAGTCTGTCTGTCTCTTCCTGTCCTTTTCCTTGTTTCTCCTACTTACTTGCTAGCTCTTCTGTCCCTTTCCCTCTAATTTTACTCACTTCTATTTTCCTCACATCTATTTCTTCTAATTTCCGTCTTGACCTCTACAATATCTCGGTCTATCACCTCTATATCATCTCCCTCTCTATATGTTTTTACTGTTATTTTTCTCTCTCGCTCACACTCCCACTGTCTCTATCTTAAACATATGTTAACTCATCAGCTTCAACCACATTGAATATGGATTAACATATCTCTTGCCTTAACAGCTGTTACCTAACAGGTTTTCGTTGTCTTATCTTTAAGTTGAGCAGATTTTTGAATGCTTGAATGAAGTTTTGTTGCCATTGTCTAGAGCAAATTAATGTGCCCGCTATTGACGCTGTTGAGCTCTCGCACGGCCGTATTCGGGGGACCGGCTGTCAATTACGTAAATAGGTCTTCGAATACGCCGAAATGTGCCCAGTGCAGTAGTCAAAAGTTAATCAAATCAATGTTTGCCGGTCTTATCTTAGTTACGTGTTATTTGTTATTTGTCAGTCACTAAGCTACTTCATGTATGTCAATATGGGTCCAGGTGGAGCATCCAGCCCCTCCCCTTCCCTTTCCTTGCCCGTCTCCGGAAACCTCTTGGCATCGCTTTGAGGAAGCAACCAAACCGAACGACCAAGTCGACCAACTCGACCGCCCGCCCGCCCTCTGCCCCGAATGCTTTGTTCATACACTTGACTGGCCACATTTGCCAACTGTCTGCCATTCCGCTCTCTCACTCTATAGCCCTCACTCTTCCCCTCTCCCCCCCTCTCAGTCAGTCTGTGTGTGTTTGCGTACCTTGGAGAGCTCGATTCAGGCTCTGTGTTTGAGCTCAGTGCATGGTTCATCTAGCTTACCTAACACCATTTCCAATTCGAACATAAAATCGAACTGGGACAAAGACATTGGAATTGAAATCAAAAGGAAAACCAAACTAACAACGAGCTTGACAATGGGAATCGTATGAAAACGACAATTGAATGGGCATCGAACCTCGCAGCTACAAAACGAAAACCAGGCACCCAAATCGAAAGCCACTTTCCACATTTGTTTCTAGCATCGCCAAGAGCCAGCTGTAACTATAGATATTATGGCCAAATCACACAAAATTGAATTGAACTGGGCTGGCAGGTGGATTTATTGATTGATTTCTAGATAATAAAGATGTTAGGGCATAGCGATGTTTGACGAAGATCTTAGATACCAAATTTATCGAGCCAAATAGATGTATTTAGCAAACAGTCCAGAAATCAATAATAAACTACAGCAAAGTCCAATTATGTATTATTCCCGGAAGACTCTAAGCCCGTATAAGCTTGCTCATATAAGTTTATCTGGGGACTAGAATGTAAATTATGTGAAATTTAGTAGTTCTTGTTTTTAGAGATTTTAGATTTGGATGGATTTTCCAGCGTAGCCATTTTTAAACTAATTCATGAACGGAATGAATAAACCCGATTAATTCATATTGAAGGCTTATATAAATAATCTCTGTTCGTCTGTTTCTATCAAACATTTCGCAGCTATTGAAGCTTAAACAATTTTTGAGCTCTGTCCAAAATATTAAAATCTCAGCGGATTTTGTACCGATAATGAGTAATGAGTATGCAGTCGGTAGCAACCAGCCGCAATATTTTTCCTTTGTTTTTTTTTTTCATATTCAGTTGAATTGGCTGTTAATCTTCGTAGAGCTTTTTTTTTTTGGAGAATTTTAATCTTGTTGCTTGAGGATTGTATAATCCCATAGAGGTATTCTATATAAGAAGGCTGACTATGGTAACTTTATTGAAATTTCTAATAATAACATATAGAAAGTCTAAAGATATATTTTTTAAATGTATATATTTGTTATTGCTTTTTTATTGGCAACTGTAACTAGTAATCAGCAAGTAAACAAATCCACAGAAATTATATTATCATGGAATAAAATATTATAAGAGATACCTTTAAGATTT